TGTGTGTGTGTGTGTGTGTGTGTGTGTGTGTGTGTGTGTGTGTGTGTGTGTGTGTGTTCTATTTAAGGAAAAGGCCCTTTGTGTCCTGTGATGTGCTGGACTTATCATTGCTTGGATTTGGAGTTTAAACCACAGTGCGTTTGAAGTTGTGTGTTTGTGTGTGGCTCGGCGCAAGCACTTGTGTGTGTGTGTGTGTGTGTGTGTGTGTGTATGCTTGCCCCTGAGCCTGTGTGTGTGTCTAAGCCAAAGCACGTACAAGCGTGTCAACTTGTGTAACTGTGGATGTCCTTTCAAAGGGCCTTCACAGATCTGTCCGGGGCCCTTTGATCAGGCCTTCTATGACTCGCCTGCTCTCGACGGGCTGCGTGCTGGGTGGGAGACAAGGCTTTTTGGACATGGATGAGACTGGATTTAACCCACACATTTATACGCACACACAAACCTAAGCATCAACGCATAAAACCACATATTGAAGAATTTAGATAATGGCTTACTGACATTTACAATAGTGGCGAATCACTCAAATGTGATAAAATATGTTTTAAAAAGACGCAGTGAACATAATATGCAACGATGCAGATGTGTGTGTAAGATTGTGTGTGTGCATGCCTTTGTATAAGTCAAAGTGTTATCACAAAGTCAGAAAGTAATACAAATAATACGCATCTCTAAAGGATTAGTTTTGAGTTGGTTAGTAGCTGCAATTTCAATTTTGTCATCCTACCAAGTATTGTAATACTGCATTGTTGATATAGTCATTTGCATTGGTCTATATTGAAAGCAGCAGCTGCAGAGTAAATCTACCGATTCATGTTTACTTTAAAAAATATTTGCTTTGATATCCCATGTTTGTGTCCCCTGCTGATTAAGTGTGTGCCTTGTAGCTTTTGAGAGGACATCAGTTTGGATTGAGATGGATCTCAGGTAGGGTCTAATACTGAGTGGCATCACCGCACCACACGGACATACTGTAGACCTGACACTGAATTGATCTGACAATAGAATGGATCAGTGTTGCCGCTAGTAAGTCAGAAGGTAGAGCATAATCCCCTCTGTCAAGTCTCTGTCTCGTCAATATTCAAATCCAGCCGGCTGTCCAATGGCTGTCAGTTACAATCTCCCTCTGGCTCATGGCCTAGCACAGGCACATATCCAAATTGAATTGGAAGTTTTGCTTCTCAATGGAAATTGAGTCTAAAAGATGACCCTCCTGCCCTGTATTGTTGACTTGTCAGTTGCCCCAACTGGACTATATTCTAATGTACAATATCTATACTCAATCTTTCCCTTTTTTGTGTTTCCCTAAGTGGCTTTTCATTTTGCTTTCAGTTTTTGTATAGCCGTTGTCTACCTCTGCTTACCATGATTTTTTTTCACTTGAATGTCAGAGGTGATTTCAAGGAACCATGTAGATTGAGATAAAATATTTGGACAGGTTGTCTCGCAAATTGTGACTTTGCTTTCTGATGAATTTAGCCCCAAAATGGTTTCTGACTATGTCTTTGTGCTTTCTCCTGTAATTACGTATTCCCATACATTCTGCCTCTTGTGTTGTAAGCGTGAAATAAGATAGTATGGACTTCTGCTAAATTATATATCCTTCCACCAATCCCCCTTTCCCCTCACTTTTACACATCACCTGAAATCAGAAAGAAGGAGCTGCTTGAATTTTGAAAAGTTGTTGTGGTCAGGCTGAAAAGGTTTATCTATTGCATGCTTTCTCTGGGGAGGACTGCTCACTCTGAGCTGTCTAGAATTTAGTTGTTTCATAAATCGCAAGTCTTGATACATTGATGCACGTCTCTTCTTTCAGAGACGTAGGGTGAATGTGAGTGTCTTGGTTAGTGCGCGATTCTCTTGTCAGTTATGAACCCATTCTGTGATGTGAACTGCTGAGAAAAGTTCATTCTTTACAGAGAAACTAATTCATTTTTTTGTATATTTCCAGGTTTTTACCCCAAATGAGTTGCTTGAAGATGTGAAGACATGTCAAATAATGTTCTTTCACTCAAAGTTACCTGACTACACATCTAAAACAGAAAGTGGTTTTCACAAGGGTGAAAATGATGGGGGACATTTAACCACCTCTCTTTCTCTCTGAATCTCTCTCTCTTGTTCAGTCCCTCTCCTCCTACTACTGTGACACATGTCGCCCTGGCTTGCATGGAAAGGCCTGACCTTTGGAAAGTTTAGCACTTTAAATATTTAGGCTTGGGTTATGATGGATCCTCCAGGCCCCGCGGCAATGTGCGAAGCCTCTGATTAGGGCTGCTGTCAGAGTCATTTAGCCGAGTGTCTGGCTGTCGGTGGCGCTCTCTGTTTGACAGGCGAGCCTTTTAAACAAACAGCGGTCCCAGTGGCAGAGCAGGCAGGGCACCCAGCGCAGCACAAACACCCAACACTCTGAGAGAAACCACTCAGCCCACTGACAGCTGCAGAGGAAACCACTGGCCACTGTCTCTCATGATCTTCCAGGCACTTTGTTGCTTTCTTTCACACAGTCTATACTTGTACCTCTGCCTGTTTTCATTTTGTCTCCGTTCCTTTTTGCTCCTCTCTGTCAATATATTTTCTTCATCAGAGTTTACACCTGGTCTTTGTTATGCTCTGTCTCTGCAAGCTGCTGAAATCAAACATTAAAGTTTCATCTGTGGTGTGTGTTGAGTAAGATTTAGTAAGGTAGGTGATTGCCGGATGATCTCTGAGCAGGGCTTATGCTCTTAATTTGTCAAACATCCCTACTTATTATCAGCTGAAAATCAGGATGGATGCTCGCTGCCTTGTGTCTGCATCGTCCCGTGATTAGGACAGCTTACATTGATGTTCATGTTGAAATACATCTGAGCCAGCCTTTTCATCTCATTCTGAGACAATCTCCCGTGGCATCAATCCTGTAAATATATGAGTCTTAATATGTGTGTCCTATTCTGTATTCAGAGGAAGAGCCATGTCAGCAGCTCCAGTATTAATGCATGAGAAATGAGCAGAGCCCATATGAATTAAAGGGTAAGACTCCCCTTATTAAGATGTAAATTCTGAGGAAAACTTGCAGAAATGAGGATACAGGGAAGTTATTGTCAACTTTAGCCTACTTATGCATTTCTAAGAGGCATTGTTATGTTACAGCTGTTGAATTAGATACACACAGCAAAGCACCTTGTGTATTTGTTGGCTAATTTTCAGCACGAGATCAACCAATCTCAACGAATATGTAACCTATACTTCACGGAACAATTGACACTTTTGGCAACATTATCTAGTGACAATATACATGGCAACTATCGTGGTAATTCAATCTCTGTCTGTGTGTGCTCCCTCTTCTTTTTCTCCCTCTCTACCTCTTTCTCATTTCAAATTTGCACTTAACACCTTCCTGGGGAAAGGCTTCTCATTCATCAACGGTGTTTGTCCCGGTGACAAGCAGGGCGCCTCCTGCATATCAATATCAGCTAAGACAATGCTGAGCCTGTAACCTTCAGCTAAATGTCATTCTGCTTAATCCTATTTGAAAATTAAACATTGAAAAACCTTTAGCGTACCTTCCTGTCTTCCTTCCTCTCTCGCTCCCTCCTTTATTGGCCGTTCCTATAGCTGTCTGCTCTCCCTCACCCCCTTCCTGCTCTAGTTTCGCAAACTGTGTGACATTTGTATTGTCTTGTTTGTTTGAGTGTTTGTATCCCATAATGGTTATTTAGAGGAACTGATTTTAATTTTATGTCACTGAAAAAATAATATAGGGGCAATTTGTCTGCCCCTAGTAGTCATCTACATGATTCCTCTACGCAGAGACAGCCATCATCAAAGAGGCAGACTTAACTACTTCTCCCTTTGTTCTACTCACTCTGTGATGGATGTAAAAAAAAAAAGAAATCCAGAAATTTGTCAGAAAAAAGCGAAGCAAGTGACCAAAGTTGTTTGTTGAGGGAGAACAGAGTCAAATGAGAGGAAACCTCTTTGTCAAAGCAGCATATTTACAAAAACAGATCCTCCCCTTACAGATGGTAATTACTACACTGACAGTGGTTAGCAAGCAGAGGAAGAAGATGTCTAATTTATCCACATACACACTTTAACAGAGGCTGAAACTTCATCAGACTTCTCTGCATTAAGAGGCCGCCTTCTTAGTATGCATTAAACACATTTTTGATATAGTTGGTGTTTTACCCCTTTTTTTCGTCTTACACAGATTTACAACGCACACACAGCATATCTATATGGTACATGTTTGAAGATACTGTGAGGAATCTGAGGGGGGGGGGGGGGGGAGAGGAGGGAAGGCAGGATAAAAGGAGACGTGGAGATTGCAATGAAAATGCAATCATTTGCAGTCGGACAGATATAATTCTCCTTTGGAGAGAGTGTGATGCGGCAGCTCAAAGACAGCCTTCAGCCAGCTCTCTATATGGGTTTGATTGACCACAGTTGCTCGTCAAGAGACGCCATTGAAATACTCAGAGTCAATTGCAACGTGCCTACCCATGGATTATCATATTGAAGCCCTTCATTCACTCTGGAGCTCGAAGAATTATAAATTATTATGGAAAGACACACTGTAAACAGTATTTAAACACGATTGAGAAGCATCCACATGTGAGGAGTAATTTCTGTGTCACCCAGACAGGGTTGATATGAAGTTCAACAGTTGTTATACCAGGACTGAACCACAGTTACCTTCAAATTCACAGAAAGGGGGAAAACACCGAGAATTACGGAGAGCCAAACTATTTTGGTTCCATTTTGTTCTGTTTCAATGTTGTCTAAAACCCATAATAACAATGTGTATGTATGTTTGCAAGTGTGTTTGCTTTGTGCGAGTCCAAAAGTCTGATAATGATTATGATTATTTTATCACTTAAAAGATGAAAGAAACTCCCATGTAAGAAGTTAAATGTGGCTTATCAAGCATAGGGAGTTTGTCTGTGGTGTGTGTGAGAGTTATTATTTTGTCTAACAGACTTGGAATTAAAACGACTTACGTTGTGTCCCTCGATGCTTTCCAGGTGGGAGATGCAGAAGGATGCAGAGCTGGAAGACGGAGAGAAATGTATTGTAGAGGAACTTCAGAAAGCCTATTTTGTTTGCTGCTGCAGCCCAGGAACGCAGGACTGTCCCGGAGCTGATGAGACACTCGCAGAGCAGACCCAGGGGGAAACACAACAATCCGATAAAAGTGCTGCCCAATAACAGTGCATGCAGTTGGATTTTTTTTTATCACGTTGTAAATGTTTTCTTGTAATACTAAGTTGCAGCTCTCAAGGTAGTATAATCTGTGTGTGTGTGTGTGTGTGTGTGTGTGTGTGTGTGTGTGTGTGTGTGTGTGTGTGTGTGTGTGTGTGTGTGTGTGTGTGTGTGTGTGTGTGTGTGTGTGTGTGTGTGTGTGTGTGTGTGTGTGTGTGTGTGTGTGTGTGTGTGTGTGTGTGTGTGTGTGTGTTCACATTTGTGTGTGCACTGTGTGCAGCAAGTTTGAATATGTGTGTGCAGGAAAATACGAGTGAGAGAGCGGACAAGAAACTGTGGAACAACAAAAAGTCTGAGGCAGACGTTGGCTCCCTCTTTATGCACACGTCTCAGACAAACTCTCTGAGCTTTTCTGTGCTGCTTCAGACATTTCATCTTTTTGGAGCACACCTCCATAAATCAGTTCTGGGAAATGGAGAGCCTGGATTTGTTTGCCTGGGACAAGATGGGACTGTGTGATCACTGTTGGTAGTTTTTTTTGCGAGACAGTGAGTGTAAAGACATTGGTGTCAGCATACTTTCTCCTGCTTCCTAAAAGCAAACATCAAATATTAAGGTGTGGAAGCAAGATGATGTATGTTTTGATTACAGCGTGTCCCAAAAATCTGCCCCACTATATAATATCAGTCAGTATTTTGTGAAAACTGTGAAAACATTTATTTTATGTGTTATAAGATGGCTCAGTATATTTTTCCAGTTTTGTCCATATTTTGTGATGTATGAGATGGAGAATGTTTTAGAATTAAACATGAAAATAAAATCATATTCTTACTTATACCATTGAACAAACTTCAGTCATCGATCAATCTGTGTGATCTCTGTGCAGTCAATAATGTATGATAATATTACTATGTAGTAAGCATTCTTAAATACTTACATCAGATGTTCTTTCGTGGTATATCTGATGTTCAGATGAGGATTAAACCACCCAAATGATGCTCTTTTCATTAAAAATAATATCATTTCAACTCACATAGGCTCCTGCACACCCTGTGCAATTCCTTCGAGAGAGCTGGAAAAGGATTCCTGCTCCAAAGAGAGTTGTTCCTTCCTTTAACTAGATAAGATTAATGCAAATGTAGCAAGATTGCAATCGGCAAACCACTTAGAGAATACAAAAGACAACAAAATGGTTAGCAAGTGAATTCTGCCTATGCATCTTAACACAGGCTAAAAGGCAGCAAAGCATGATGAGTCTTTGTACATGTATTGTATTTGATATAACAATTAAACCTTGTTTGTGTTGCAGTAAAAATAGTCTTTAACTAGCCAAACTGTTATTGTAAGATAACTGTTTTCTGTCAAAGAAATGCTTTGATCTCTTTCTTTTTATCCCTCGCCATCCCTCCTAAGTAAGCACCTGTAAGGTTATCCTTTTGTATTTCCATTGGGTGAGCTTTAGAAGACAGCTGTCAGAAAAGCTGACAGTATAATTCACAACAAATCATTACAAAGAATGATTCATCACAAAGAATAAACGGAATATTCTATTATACAGTATTCATTTGGGGATTATCAAACCTACATAAGCATTTTAGAATCCCGGAGCTCATCATGACATATTCATGCAGGATAAACAGCCGCAGCATTTTGACTCCTGTGATTTCCATTTCAATTGATTACCCACAGTATATTAGTCCATTATGCACAGCAAACTATCACAGAAGACACATGTTGGTTTTATTTCTATGTTCATCCATTGAGTACAACAAGCTCTGTGTCAGCATGCTGGGATCCAAAGTAGTAGCATAACGGGAGGAAAATCCTCCTGCTGCAGCACCGTGGTTTCACTTTATCAATCAGGTGCTTATTCTTTATTATTTTAAGTTACAAACAAGTCATAGTGCATTTTTCTCCATATTTAAAGGTGGGGTAGGTAATTTTGGAGAAACCAGCTCGAGTGCGCTAGAATTTGAAAATACACAGCCGGAAAAAATCTGCCACTTCCTTACAGAGCCCCTCCTCCAACACACACGAACGTGCACATGACCAATGAGGGCACGAGATAAGTTTGTGCACAGATGGAAGGCTGACAGGCAGGTAGGCCATCCAGTTATTTTAGCCGGGCCGGCTAAAATGATTGGTCGTGCTTTTTACAGTACTACGGCTTCCACAGATGACATTTTTTTATGGATTTTTTATCAAAGCACTTAAGATATTCATTGCTATCGGGATGTTAAGAGCATTCCATGGAATATAACAAAAAGTGTATCTCGAGCCGGTTTCTCAAACTTACCTACCCCACCTTTAATGTCAATTCCAAATACACTGGCTAAGCAATTCTAAAAACATTACAGAGCACAAGAGCACTGAGCTCCACCAAGACCATGTTCCAATGTTACACCGTGTTTCATGAAAAATCAAGCCACTAGGTTTTCTAAATTCATGCTGACATACAGACAAACACAAAAAGACAAACATGCAAACCTAAAAATACATACCCTACCATCTGAAAGTATCGCACATTCGCACAATTGCTGAGGGCCGACCAAGACTCAAGGACTTTATTTGGACTTACAATAATTGATAACCTTCCCAAACCCTAAGTAGAAGAATATGTCCAAGTTTAAATCTCAGATCATCACCTCTCCTCTCTTTTGTTGCATTGAGTATTGATTAAGGGAAAAGCATCTATTTTATCATGTCAATCTCAGTGGATTCCAATGCCACATCTCGTTTCTTATTTGGGTCTCCCCTCGCAGCATTTCCAGTCCTCTGCTTGAGGAAACAGGGTAGCTCAGCTCCCTTGATAAACAGTTTCAACTTCTAGAGGACGTCCACAAGTAGGTCATACTGTACAGCATAAGTTAAAACAGGAGGCTATTTCTGTTCATTAAAAAACACATCAACAAGAAGAGTTGCAGGTACATTATACAGGAGAGTATAGGGCAGGTGTTCCTTGGTACATTTAGGTCACCTGTGGCACACTATCAGTGATTCTAACTGGTCTCTTAACCATTTAAAACAATGAAAACATTGTATTTTCTATCCCCTTGAACGTTCTTGATCTGATGGATTTCACTTGGGCAGTTTTGTGGGAACAGTCCTGAAAATGTTCACAACAACAGCTTCCTCCAAGATAATCTGATGTGCTAAAGGTTGACAGTTTGATTAAATCATTATCCTCTTTTATTATTATTTTAAACATAAAAAGTTTTATATTTTTCTAATTGTTATGTAAGTAAAATCAAATACGTTTTATTGGCAATGCCTAACATATGTTTGAGTGGTGTGGCTATATTGGTTAAATACATGTGTAGGCGTTTAGCTCCCTATTTCTCCTGCAAAAGCTCTTGTTTGCAATGGATTTGCATAAGTGAATGTGTTAACTTTTTTGTAAGATTAAATACATAAATTAAAACATTTGAGTGAAACTATCAATAGTACAGTAGGTTTCCTATTACGCATGATAAAGGAATGTTATATAGTATGGGGGAGTGTGATCTACACCAATGCATATATGAAATAAAATAAATGTTATTTGCAAAGAATTGAAATACCTTTCTGAAATGCACTTGAGTAGAAATATAAAATTAAACAAAATGAAAAGTAAAATAACCTGTAGTGAAGTACATTTAAGTTAAAACATCTGTATAAACGATAAGTATAAAACCGAGCAGCAGCTGTGCTACTGTCTCTTTAAAAATCCCTTCCAGTCCGTTGCCCCGGTAACCCGGAAGCTTCACGTGTTATGCTCTGCATTGCTCAGCCCTTCCTGTTTTAGAAATGTCAAGGATGCAGCGTCGACTGGACTGTCGCATATACTGATGGTGTGTGAGTCGAAACAAAAAAAGCATGTGTGCATCTACTGTAAACAGCTGTTCCTCTCCGAAATGTCTTTCGTTTGGTTGGCACGAATGTGAAATAAAAGCAAGAATGTATCTTTGTACCTGCTCGAAATGGCTCCACGAGAAGCGAGAGCAAACATTTCGCGAGTTGTTTGTAAAGAGTGCGAAACATTAAACATACTGTATTTTGAATGTTGTTGAGATAAAGACAGAGTAGTCTGAGGTAAGCGTAAATGACTGTTTGTCACTGTCTTCAGCGTGGTTTCAAAGCAAGAGTAACTTAAAGTGCTAACGTTATGATTTCAGTTGTTCCACGTGTGCTAAGTTGTGTGAATACACGCTGCTAACAGCTGCTTGTTTGTTAGCAATACTGTTGACAAATAGTTGTAGTTAGCTGTTGCTGCTTTGCAGTGTTTGTGCAGTTTGAATTAACACTCCACCGTTTCAATCAGTTAGCTAAACACTTGTAGCTTGTACAGGAGTGTAGTACTCAACAGTTAGTTTTACTGTTCTGGCACAAAGCCACCTTACAGGTGCAACAAGCTTTACGGCACTTACATTTATGGCATGTTGTAAACAAAGAAGGAACTCATTATTTGACAGGTACTGGCATGTAAGGGATATAACCGGATGTCCCTCAGTGCATGTGCTACAACTGGAATCTCTCTAAGTCATTATTTGTTTCTCTTTTTTAATTCCAAACTCATGTCACAGGGTACATCTCAGTGATATTTGGGAGAAGAGGACTCAATGATCTCTCATCTCTGTGCTGCCACACCAGTCCTGTACATATTGTGGATCGCAATGGCCCAGATAGCTGCTGGCCAGGAGGACAGAGAGAAAACTACTGCACTTAAAGGTAAACATGAAAAGATCGTTGTGAAAATGAAACATGGAGGCTGTTCTCTTAAAACTAACTACAAGAGCTGGGAACTATACTGTACGAGAAGAAAATGCGTCCACAAAACAGGTTTATGACAACCCAAGTGGCACTTACTTCATATATCAACATTTGTCTTGTTTATAATGTATTTATATGTTAGTTTAACTTGTCACTTCACTGTTTCAAAGCTCTGAACAGCATTATATCAAACAAAAACAAAAATAATAATAATATTTGAACACACTTTTAGAGAAATGTTTGTTGCTTTGACTTTTTTCTTATCTTGACATGACGGCTAGCCCACCAACATGTCTGATTTGAATGATCTATGACACACATACAAACTGTAGTTCATGTTACTGACGATGTCCAGCCTAATTGTCGTAACATTAAGTCTGTCCTTATTTCCGAAATCTAGTTCTTAGAAGTTAGGTACCACCCTGAGTTAAAATTATAAATGGCATTATGAAAATGTGAAATGCCACACATTGTATGCATACTCAAATACATTTGGCAGAAAAACAAATAGGTCTCAAATTGTTATAAAAGAAAGTGCAATCTCTTTCATGCCAATTTGTGATTGTGTGCCATTAATATGTATGTTGACTGTTATACTGTATAATTTTTTTTCCCATAATCTGAAACTTTACTTACCAGTTAATATTAGGCTCTCTCGAACAGTAGATGTTCCACCACCAACATATTTACCCACTCTTTAGAACATTTATTTGCTCAACCCCCCACCTGCTAGAAACACACTATTTCCAGGTAAGTGATACAATTAGCTGGACATTGTTAATTGATATTTTTTGTTGTGGTTATTATTTCATGGGAATATCCTATCTTCCACCTGTTAAGATACTTTAGGATAATGAAAAGCTTTTAATGTAAGCAATTAGGTAAGATTTTGTCAAAGTAGTTGCTCTTTCTTTCTCCTGAAGGAATCAGCTCCAATGAATGTTGTCACACATTTTTGCTCACCTTTGATCTTATCTTTTTTCTTCAGACTTGCTGTCAAGAATAGATTTGGATGAACTGATGAAGAAAGATGAACCTCCATTCACTTTCCCCAAAACACTGGAGGAGTTTGAATATGCCTTCAATGAATGTAAGTACATTTTGTAGTCTTTAAAGCATACAAAGCCTTCTGCTTATACTGTACCACCAACAAAACACCAAATCTTGTGAACTGTAAGTTTAACAAACAACACTTCTGACAGTTCAAGAGTTGTTCTAAAGCTCAGGTGCATAACAAGTTAAATCTGGCACTGTGTTGTGTAAAAAACACATACGGTTTCAGGTATAAACTATAGCACCGGAAACATAATCTAAAGAAAGGGGGTTCTCAATGTTGATTTTTAATACAATACATGTTGTTCAAAGCAGTGGATCCTAATATTTTCATCTTGTGACCCCTTAAAATGAACAAACCATTTGTCACTTAATAAATATAATTCATACACAGTGTTTCCCACAGATCTGAAATATACTTGGGAGGGTTGCTGGTAGCGGGGGGGGGGTTTGAGGTGACGTGCCTTTGTGACGTGCAACAACATTAACATTAACATGAACCTTTCTGTTGGTCGCTTGTTAGCAGACCCTTCACGCCATGGCAGAGAGAATAGGTACAGGCAGGGCCCATAGTGTTAGCCCTATAGTTTAAATCTACTACCCACAAATAAACATATGGACATGGGTTACTATTTGAGTAATAAGTAGGGGTGGACTTCAAATCCTCTAGGGGGGTCTGGGGGCGTGCTCCCCCGGTAAGATTTTTTATTTTATTTTGGAGTTAAATGCAATCTGGTGCACTTTCAGGGGGAAATAAAGAGACTAGATCTATGGGAACACCTATATGAAACAGAACTGTATACATTTCAATAATCATAAAGTGTATCTTACCTTTTTTCCCCTAGTTAACTTTTTAATTTTTTATTCATGCATATTTTACTAATCACTACCCCCTCAAATGGAAATATGTGTTTACATAAATGGTGACCAAACCGTTTGAGACCCACTGAGAACTTAGACTAAGTTAACTATCTAAACACTCAGAGTCCTTTACCTCACCTGAGCTGAGGTTATCCCGAGCTTGAATGACACACAGAGACCAATCGAGGGCCTTGATTTATGATCTGTATGACAGTGGCCATGTCGGCAGGCCACGTCATGTAGACAGCCAGTCACCCTGTGTGAGGCAGGCCACTTAACAGGCCAGGCCATCGGGAAACCCCCCGGTCCTCCCGATGACCAGTCCGGGACTGGGTACAGGAGGCGTAGAGTGAGGGATCATTGTCCACAAGTTAATCGATCGCAGATGGCGTCGTGGTCGCGGACGAAAAAGAAAAAAACGAAAAAACGAAATGGGTCGCGAAATATACTTGGGCGGCCGTTAATATACCTGAGCGGCCCGCCCAAGTATAGTCTATGTGTGGGAAACCCGGATACATGTGAATGATGCAGCTGATTTCTAGTATTGAAATATATGTTTAATGTATTGGGTCACTTTAAAAAAAACTTAAATAATAAATACACTGCAATATCATTTGAATTATTATTAGTGACCTAAAGAGTTAATAGGGTCATGTAAATAAAACAAATGTGTTTTACCTTCTATTATTCCCCTTTTATCATCTTGTGAAGATGAATCATGTGACCATTAGAAGGGTCCTGACCCCCAGGTTGAAAACCACTGACCTACAGAGTTTGGTTGCTTCCACTTGATTCTTGTTAGAGCTGCTTTGAAACAAAATTACCATAACCCTTCATTAAACTAAGACAGTTTAAACGTAATCTGTCTGTGTGCAATTACCGCTCTCCTCAGTGTAATGTCACTGTTTTTGAATTAATGACCTGAAACTGTCTCTGCTGTCACCTGGGACACTTTGGGTGTAAAAGTGTTCTGAAGATGTGTGTGTCTGTGTGTGCATGTGGCAATAATTAGTGACAGGAAGGAGCCGAGCTGGACCCAGAGTGGTGCTGCTCCATGAGATATAAAAGTCTCTTTAGAATTCTCTTGGCTCGCTTTAATCAAACCAGGTGGAAAGAAGGAGGAAGAGTTAGAAAGAGGGAGGGGGGGGGGGTGGTTTTGACTCTTAGTACTCAGTAGCCCCTCTCTCTCTCTCTCTTTCTCCCCCCTTCCTCTGTGCTCTGTCAGTGTCTCTGCTGGCTGTCTGGCTGGCTGAGTGGGGGACATGTTGTGTACTCTACGGCCCGTCAGTAACCTACTCAGCCTTGCCCTCCGCCTGACGGAGCATTTGCATAACCTCGCTGTGCCTAAGAACAGAGACACGGAGACTCACCCCCCGCCCGCCACTGTGCCAACACCCGCCACCCCCCTACCCCACCCTCAAGTCCCAGCTCAGTCTCCCATGGAGGGATGAACACATTCAGAGACTCTCCCTCAACCTCCTGTCTCCTCTGTTCTCCCTTCTCTCCCTCTTTCTGTCTCTCTATTTTTGCCCCTGCCCCGCAAAAAAACACCCCCACTTGAAACACAGCTTACCCCCACACACACACTTACACTACACACACCCATACCCATCAGCATGTTTAGTCAATTTCCACTCTGGCCTGTTTTTGAAGGATAGCATTTCACAGTAGCTCTGGCTCGCAGGCATTTCTATAGCTACACCCCGGCTACCTTTGCCCGAGACAGGTGGAACAAAAATGTTAATTTGACCATGTAATGATGTGAATACAGACTAGGCTGTGTACAATAGTTTGCAGGTATCTTAATCACTGAAGATGATGGCTTCATCTCGCTAGCCCCCCAGTTTTCCATTACTGGAAATCCAAGGTTATGTACACCTAATTAAGCGGCCAAATTGAGAACAGAATGCTAATTATGACAGAAAAGAGGAGAAAAGTTGAGAAAACGTTATTCCTCTGAGAGGATGTGTTGGGGGAGGCGATGGAGCTGATCACCCCCCTAGCACACACACACGCACTCACTTATTTTCTCCCTCCCTCCTTCACACACACACACACACACACACACACACACACACACACACACACACACACACACACACACACACACACACACACACACACACACACACACACACACACACACACACACACACACACACAGTAGGATTTCATTATAGCTCATCTCTTCCTTCTCTTAGGCAGTAGTGTTTAGATCATCACCCCAGCCATGAATTCTTAATAGATTTTCTTCAAGGTACTTTTTTTGCACACTGCTTCATCCTAACTTCTCACTCGTCTCCTTCTCTACCTCTCAGGCACATGTCTCCGTGTTAATGCAACATAATGACAAACCAAGATTCAGCATAACATGTTGTCTAACGACTCACCATGAACGCAAGTGCTGTAATACACAGTGTGTTAGCAATGCAAGATTTATCACATTGATAGAGAGGTGAAATTGGTGGCAATTTAGAAGGAGATGAAAAAGTGCTTATGCATTCTTTTATCCTCCACAGATATTGTATTTATTTCTACCTTAGATGGGTTTCTTCACGTTGAACGATAATTGAGAAAGTATGAGAGCCCCCTGGCTATTTGGGTTAAGTATGTGTACTTTTCAGTGGTTTAGCTCTTACAAATTCTGCAGTCATAAAGGTCAAAATTAAATTTAACACTGTTTAGTGTTTTATTGTGTTGTAGTGTCAACGGCAGGATCGATGGGCTCATTGCTAAGGTATAAATGTAGAGGTTCCACAGCCACACAAGGGTAATTGTTTATTAAGAAAAAAAAGCAGCACCATTCCTTACAGTCTTATGACGGTTTTATATCAAATAAAACCTGGATCGGTTGAAACCCCCTCATTTCTCCTGAATTATAATAAATCATTTAAACAGCGTCCCCAAAAATATTCAATTCTTGTGTACTGTTTTTGCGACACATAAGACAAAATCCAATCTGGCCCCTACACCCTCTGCCACCCTCTTCCACTCTGTTTGTGTGTTCATGTCCCCATATAAGATGCAATTCCAAACAAATTAGTAGAGTGGAAGTTGGTTAAAACACACAGCGAGTCTGTATCGAAGCTGTCCTCAGTAATTCTGCCTCTGTCACTGAAATTGCTGCGTACAAATCTGTCCATACATAAATGCACCAGTAAACTTTGCAAACTAAGACAGACAATTATTGTTGTCTTACAGAACTTTCACAACGTAAAGGCTTTTTAAATCAAATACACCCTTTTATAGTCTAGAAAACATTGGACGTATTTATTTGATTGTAAAGCATTGTATATTTACAGGGAATGTTTGCGAAAACAAGCAGCTCATCAACATCAGAGTTAAAATCAAGAAGTTTTCACCCAAAAAAATCCCACCAAAAGTTAATTTTTCTGCCGTAAAGACTGAGGTTTGCCCTAAGAGGAGAGCTTCGTTCAGCTGAGCCTAGTTGTGTGTGTGTGTGTGTGTGTGTGTGTGTGTGTGTGTGTTGTGTGTGTGTGTGTGTGTGTGTGTGTGTGTGTGTGTGTGTGTGTGTGTGTGTGTGTGTGTGTGTGTGTGTGTGTGTGTGTGTTGTGTGTGTGTGTGTGTGTGTGGTGTGTGTGTGTGTGTGTGTGTGTGTGGTGTGTGTGTGTGTGTGTGGTGTGTGGTGTGTGTGTGTGTGTGTGGTGTGTGTGTGTGTGTGTGTGTGTGTGTGTGTGTGTGTGTGGTGTGTGTGTGTGTGTGTGTGTGGTGTGTGTGTGTGTGATGTGTGTGTGTGTGTGTGTGTGTGTGTGTGTGTGGTGTGTGTGTGTGTGTGTGTGTGTGTGTGTGTGTGTGTGTGTGTGTGTGTGTGTGTGGAGATTGGCTGTTGCCCCAATTGCGTCCTCAAAGGAAGGAACAGTTGTTGTTGTGGCTAATGCATGCCAGGGTACCTTTCTCTTTCTGACGAAAACACACTAAGAACCTTTTTCACACCTTCTTAGGTCTTTGCTTTTAGAGATTTCAGGTAAAAAAGAAAGGGAATGGCATGTGGTGACTGGCCAACTGTAGAGAGAGACATTGACAAACTAAAAGAGGAAGTGGAGAGGCTTTAGATGATTGAAAAAGAGGAGAGAGGGAAAGAGAAGTTTTGCCATACCAGCTGTCCAGCACTGGCCTGCCAGACTACCCAGAAGGCCGTTGGAGTCGTGACTGGAAGAACGTTGCTGAATCCACAGGCCTTGGACCCGCCAGATGGGGGTGGTTGAGGTAGGAAGGTGAGGGAGAGGAAGCTTAAGGACCACCAGAGGAAAAAGGAGAGAGATAGAGAAAAAAGTTTGCAGGTTCAGTCAGATGTGGTAATCTATCCATTACTCGCACAAACACAAATAACGGTATCATCATAATTACAGATGTTTTAACCTTTTTCATTCTATCTTTTGCACACAGATGGCCAGCTCAGACATTTAAAAACCGGAGAGCCGTTTGTATTCAATGCCAGAGAGGATCTCCACCGCTGGAACCAGAAACGCTATGAAGCTCTTGGAGAGGTAACACAAATATTTTTTTCTTAAGCTTCAAATAAGACATCCAATGCTCAGCAGCTTTGGTCTCAGCTTCTGGGTCAGTTTTTGTCTGTCGTGTCCAGTTTTTCTCCACACCTTGTAAGATACACTTTATTACCGATTAAACAGTGTTTGTGTTGTGTTGTGAAACGGGTAAGAATTCCCTCTCTAATATCCCTATTTATTTTCCTGGGAAAGAACCCTCCCTTGAGCTAGTGTGCCGTTTGTGTGCGGAGCGAGCGTTGGGTTGAGTGAAAGAGAGAAAGGGGGCTGCCGACAGCGAACAGCTTTCAGGAGAAAGGAAGCAGCGCAGAATACATGCGATTCAGGGCTCACGGCAAGACTCGCTTTAGTAATCGATAAGCAGAATCTAAATATGAATGTTTTATTTACTTTTCCATTTTAACACGCCTATGTGTCATTAATTTCTGTTCTTGAGGTACTGTTGTTCTGTAGAAAACAAGTATAGTCTTTTGGCATTGACTTGGTATCAAGGTATTGGTTATTGTGCAAACAGGACTGGTCTGAATGGGACAGGAAAAACATGAACTCCTACAACTTTTTAAATCATGTCATCACATTTTTACGAAGTTCCCTAATGCTCTTGTGAAGTTTTGCTGTCGTAAAACCACATCACCATACAACCTAACATACACCAGTTCAACCCTAATTCACTCCCACAGTACCAGCACATGAAATATGCATTCAGATAATGAGACAAATGTTCTTTTGTAATCATTTTTTTTATTTGCATCCCCTGCTATGTTGCTTTTAATTGTGTGTGTTCTTTGAAGTTCAAAGCAAAGTGATAGACCCGTTTGTGGGATTACCTGGGTGTTTTTATTATTTTTAATGCAGGTATACAGTAGCTCCTTTGAGAGCCAGACTTCTGTGAACGCTTTTTTTCCCCCGTCTCTCTCTTCTTTTGCCTGCTCAGGCACTATCCACCAGCATCTTAAAAGGCTGTGGAAACAAACATTTGGTATCATCCAAGCTGAGGCCCTGAAAGAACAGACACACATTTAAACTAACTGAACTCAGGCATCGGAGGGGGGCAAAACATTTTGAGGAACTAAATAATCATCAAGCAGGATGTATGCTAATTTTATTCATCCTGCGAACGACAGAAGCATCTTCTTTAGAGAAGAAAACGGTGTCAATCAGTGTTTATGTGTAATGAGAACAGAGAGTGAATGAGTTGTGCTACAGATTTAACTGGCTCGAAAAAACCTGCATAAGCAGAATTATCTGTCTGTTGTTTTTAGGCCACATGTGATTCAAGACAATGAATATTGTACCTCTTTTTTTTTTACAGCTTTGCAAGTACAAATGCATTATTTTTGCTGGTAAGAAATATACCCCATTATAAATAGAAACAGCTGCTGAAATGTATGCATTCCGTTGTGAAGTGGGTTATATCGCGTAGTCAGCCCCTGTACGTTTAAGTTTAAGAACGTTTTTCACACAAGCATATCGGCATGCTTTCTTCTGCGTACGTCTGTACGACACATGCAGATGTATTTGTTTTTTGAAAGTTCTCCCTCTACTGTTGTTGGTCTTTCTAGTCTGTTCTATCATTCCTCTCCATTATTTCTGCCTCGAGTGAGTTTGACAGATGTCATGAGGGTAAATGTAAGTCTCAACCCTCTATTTATTTGTCGTATGCGCAACGATTACAGTGGAGCAGTTGTTGGCAATGAACATTTGTTCTCAACCTTCCTCCAACAATTTGTTTTGAAAATGTATAAAAGGAGAAAACACAACATTTAAAATCACAGTCTTCACAAAATGTTGAAGTAGTTAAAACAGGAATACAATATAACAATATACAATTAAATACAAAATAATTATAAGATAGAATATAGAACAAGCCATTCTGTAGACAGGCATGTTATGGGCAAACAGAATCCACAACACACCCACATGCCGTCCATCAACCTGCCACCTGAGACTGTCTGAAAACTAGCCACATTCAGCTTGAAAGCTGTGTGAGATGGCACAAGGACGCTCGCTCATGTGTTTGCCCCTGGCACTATGAATGGAAGGGCATCCTCATTGCCCCCGAATGTTCACTCTCCCTCCCTTTCACAACACTTGTTGGCTGCTTCCTGCTTTGCTCCAGTCGTCCAGACACTTCTCTCACCTGCTCTCTGATTAGCGGTTATTTATCGTTCCTTTTTCATACGTTTCCCGTCCTACAAAACTACAATACATTTAAGCAGGTTTCTTATACGATTACTGTAAACAATTGGGATGATGTCTTGGGACCACTCTTGGTAGCGGTTATCTACTTTGAACTGCCTTCTGCTACTCGACAACTTTAACACGAACCAAACAGAATTGATGTGCAGAGACGTGTCATAAATTGTTACTGTACATTGCCATACTCGAGACAAGGGCATTCATGCTGAAGTCTTTGAACTCCACGGCACTCTGAAAATGTCTTCTGTCGGGGAGTTGGCTCATCAGAGCTTATCTCAACGAGATTGAAATGGACAGCTATCTCTTAATGACACCATCACTTTCCCAACACAAAACCTGAGATACCTGAGAGGAAATACCTGTTGTTTTCTACCTGGGTATTATCTGGGTACTAATCCTAATGATATGTGGTAGACTGTAGGTCACGTAACTATAAGCCTCGGGCAACTAGTAGACAGTCAAAGGTCTCCATAAACACAGACCACTAGCACGCCTCACATTTATAAATGAGAAATATAGTGTATTATAAGAACAGTATGAATTATGGAATGGATCACGTCCAAAACACCTTTCTGATCTTCGTAACAAACAGTTAAGACCCTTCAGATCTTCTGAGGCATGGCTTACTGTCAAAACTACACAAAGGAAAGCAGCAATCAGTTTTTATGCACAATATATTTTTGTTTATATCTGTTACTCAAACTCCCAAAAAAAAACACAGTTCTTATAAAACAGGGTTTTATTTTGTTAAATTGAATTTAGGACTACTTATTTAGATCTTCAAATGCACTTTTGCTGCTTTAATGTTTACTTTTTGCTCCCTTTATATTATTTGATCTTATTTATACCTATTATTTTCTTTGTTTTAGTTCTTTAAAATCCTTTATATTGTCTTTTTCTCTGACTTCTTTTATATCTCGTCCTTCTGCCTTTATGTGTTATGTAAAGCTCTTTGAATGGCATTGTTTTGAAAGTTGCTCTGTCCATCTCTGCCACGTATATCTCCCCTCTCAGTGTCTTTTTTATCCTTAAGGACCTGTATTAGAGGACTCTGTGTGCGTGTGGGTTTGTGCGTCTGTGTACATGTGTGAGGGCTGGGGGGTGGCGGCTGTATTGTCAGACCCATCACAGCACCAGATGTCCAATTTGCACTTCAGCCTCGTCTGAATGGAGGAACGGAGAGAGAGAGAGAGGGAGAACGAGGATGTTGGTGTGATGGCCTCCAAGCAAAAGAAATACATGGGGACAACATTTGGATAGAGCACGAGAATCATTTATATTTTATTCAGAATTTCTTTTCATCTACTCAAAACCTTTTCTAAACTGGTCCCTTATATCAATGTCATGATGTTGAGAGATTTCTAGATGCTATTTTCACCAAGCCACACTGATCAACTATGGATAGCATGCCATATGTCAGCACCCTAATATGTAAGCCATTTTCTACTCGCATGGAATAAAAAATAAATAAAGCTTATAAAAATGTGCAAGGCCCTGATGCCATTAAATATAAACGCAGGAAAGGGTGAGGAGAAGAGCTTATGTTTTAAAAGTTGAACTTAAAGAGTCACTGTGATCGTGTTTAACACAGAATTGTACACAACAAATCTGGGAGAAATCAATATTGCAAAAGAAGGTCAGTAAAACAGAAAGTAGATTGAACATATTCAACAGTTTGAATGTACCATTTGAACAGTGTACTGACTCAGTGCTAACATACAGTCGGAGAATGAAGTACCATTACACCATAAGCTCTGGCATGAAAACCTTTGAAAGTCCTCAGGGAGCAGCTTATTATTAACTGTCTTAACTAAATTATTTCAAGGGAAAGGTAGCTTATTCCGGCTATATAGCCTTTTCTCCCTTTTTTCCTTTGGTCAGCCTTCACTAAAGCTTTTTTATGTCTCTCTGTGCAGTCTGAAGGTATGGCAGTAGCATAAGAAAGGACATTAGAGCAGGACAAATAAGGATCCTACAAGTCAAATATCCCTTTATGTTCCGAGTGCACTCCATAAAGAGTTTAAGCATCGACTTAGAACATATTTTTCTATGTTATTTCCATCTATCCCACTTGTAGTATCACTGTAGTTTAATGTATTCTTTACTCTGTTTTCTTATTCCTTTTGATTCTGTTTTGTCATATTCAAACTAAAACAATACACAAACGAAAAGCCGACAGACTGCTTGTGTAGTGATAGCGTTGATCTTTGGCTCCGACTGTTATCGTAATGGCCGTATTACAGCTGCATACAGCAGTGTGACGGCGATGCTCAGTGCAGCGGGGTCACCTCAGCCTGTGTAGGTGTCAGTTGGAGTCTAATTCCTGTGATTCGGTGATGAATCTCTCTGATAGAAGACAAGCATAGGGTCTGGCCCAGATGGAGCTCTATTAAGCCGTTAATAAATGAGGATTCTTCTCTGCTCTGCCTGCATCTGTGGAATGGAAGCCACTCACACATTTGTAAACTCACACATACACACACACACACAGTCAGAATATTATAATGAAGAAAAGCTAGCCAGATGGCTGAATTAGAAAGCCGTCTCTCTCTCTCTCTCTCCCCTTTCCTCTCTGCCTCTTCATCCCTCTTTCTCTCTGTCTGTTTCTTACCCTCTCTGCTGTCTCTCTGTTATCTTTTTTTTTCTCTTCCTGTCTCCCTGTCTCCACATTATGGATGCTGGGCGTTGTCATAGCAGTGACCAGCTGGCCAAGGTTTAAGGCCTTGCTGAAGTGCCCTTGAGCAAAACACTGAGGGAAAAATAAACATTTCTCTATTTATTTCTTTCTTTCTTTCATTATATTATAAATGAGTTTATGGTACTCTATGGTGACTTGTGTTATACCTCTACCATACCGTACGCATAAATTACAATATCATCTGCATACATTTGGATGTGAGTCCCCGGACAAACAATGTATGCAGTGAAACGTGCAGGATGTAATATTGTTGTGGAGAGTGTGTGGCCCGCTCTTTAATGATTGTATTCTTGTGGAGATTTAGCTGCAATACTGTCCATTAAGCTCAAATAATGTATTTATTCACATTGTTGCAACTTGGATGTAATAATCTACCTATGTCCTTGCAGCAGTTTTTGTGTACGTGCACGTCAAACTTCAGATTATTCCGTACAATGTTATATTCCTTTTCTTCACAGTTAAGCCCTTTTAGATAATCAATATGAACCAAAAAGAGATGAATTACATGTTCTACGTTTTGGAGGTCTTGAATCAACTTTGAAGAGTCCTGGTGCAGTCATGAAGTGATGCGTCAGGTGACAAGCCTCTGTACTGTAGTTAAAGCATCAAGAGGCCCCATACCATTCGTGGGCCATTTTGTTGGGTAGCTAATGGGCTCTCTCTAAAGAGTGACTATAAATGACAGCTGTCTGCCCGGATTCACTGACTGCCATCATGTCTCCATTCCCAAAACACTTAAACACTTCCCCTGCAGCTTCTACTGTGAGCATGAAGGAGGAAGCAGACACAGTCGGACAAAAATGGTTACAGGGAGTAGGTAAGGTGGATTAGAGTTGATGAAAGAGAAGAGAATTGGAGTTGGGGATGGGTTGTTAGAAAAAAATACAGGAGGCCTGATATTGCAGCGCTGGCATCTGTCGCTACCGCCGGCACCCAAGGTGGTATACAGTACTTTACTTTGAATTAGACCTCTGCCGGCTTCTCAGTTAACACCTGAGGAGGTCATTAGGATGCCATTAGGATGCGCAGTGCTGGGAGGTTGAGGGGGGGATGAGAGAGAGGGGATATCTACACTAAGTGTAAACAGTCTGTCTGTCAGTCTGATAACTTTCTCTTCCCCTGGAGAGCCCTCTCTCCTCTGACAGAAGAGTGACAGAGACCTCATGGGAATTACACTAGTCTCTCTCTCTCTCCCCCTCTCTTTGTTTCCTACACGGCCTGACAGATCACACATTCACAACAATAGGCTCTATTTTAATACCACTTTTGGTTGGTACACAAGGCTGACTTAAAATAAACAACCTTTCTATTGCCTCATGCTCTCTCTCATTTTCACAGTCTCTCTTTCCGAGTATGCTTTTTTCTTGTTGTTGCGCTGCATTGTTGGAGAGATTTTCTTCTTTTTCTTCTTCTCCTCTATTCTCTGGAGAAGAAGGAATGCTTTCCGGGGTGCAGTCAGTGATACGGCATGAACAGCTCTTTCAGTTTCATTATATAAACAGCTTTGATGCCTCTTCTTGCTCTCTGGTTTCTATAGCTAAGTGGCTTTTGGAGGGGGCTCTGGACTACAGAGTTAAGAGATATGTGTGTCTGTACATGAGTTTCTTGTGTATATGTTGCTGCTGTATGGAGTTTATTTGTGCACAGGGCTGACTCTAAGATAGTTTTATCAGATAAGGCATTTCATGCACCAATGAGCAGCCCAATTGTTCCAATTACAACTCAAACTAGCTGTTATTCAAACCGCTCAGTAGCTCTGACTGTGATCACTTAAAAATGTGTTTTTAAACTATTTCATGTTTATTTTCATTGATTGTATTTGTGATTACTAGCATTCATTTAGTCTTATAGAGTCTAAAATCCATCTCCATGCAACTTACGGTAACTCTGATAAACGTCAGGTCATGTTTTCCTCCCCTGTAACTGCATCAAGTCTTTTTGTCATACTCCTCACTATTTATTCCTCATCCCTTTTTGTCTTTTTCACTTCCTGTCCATTTTCTCTACTCCTTGCATTTGTTTTTCGTTAGTGCCTTGGAAAGATAATCACCCTATCGCCTTAGGTGCGCTCACTCAAACCAGGCATGACTGTTGTAATCAGTACAAGAACGCACACAACAAACACGCATTAACTGATACATACTGTATGCACACATAATATGGGAGGTCTCTCTGTAGTTTGAAAACATATCAACTTGCAGCCACAATTAAGCATTAACGGTTTGGCATGGTGTGTGAAGAAGAGTGAGGAAGAGATTGTTATGGGGATGACCAGAGGTTTGCGAGAAGTTGATGTCAAAGCCCACCTACTTGGAGGCCTTTCACAGAGGCCGTGCACTGTACTGTTCTCTCCCCATCCTCCCCTCCTTCACGCTCCCTCTCCTCTCAGCTGTTCACCGCAGTGGGAGCTGGCACACACTTCTGGCTCCTGGGGATTACTTCTCCATGTCTCCCTTCTTGTCTTTCTTCTTTCCTCCCACTGAGCCCTCCTTTAAGTCTCTTCCTTCCTCCCTGATCCCACTTTTCTTGCTTCATCGCCACAATGCTTCCTCTACACAAACAAACCACAGACACAGAGGTGACCTCAGCCGCAGAAGGTCTTTTTCAGACTCTCCCACCGCAGCTCTCACAGTTGTTCAGAATGTTTGCTGTTGTTCGAGGATACCTCATCACCTGGCTATCCTAGCAGACAATACATTTCAAATTGTATCTGTTTTTGCTTTTTTTTATTCGATATTGAAAGCTAACTTTGTATCTCTAGTCTAGAGAGTTTCGCAAAGGCTCTTTCTTGGCTTTTATCTCTCCTCTCCACTCTTTTTTTAACTACCCTCCATTTCCTTCCCTTCTCTTTGTGTCTTAATATTATTTTCCAAATCCACTCCTCACGCTTCTCCAATCGTCGTATGTAAGCCTCCTGCGGGCATTTCATTAAAGCACTAATAACACATTGGTAATTAGGTGACAAAGAGGCTTTTCTTAGTGTACTGATCAGCTGCTGAGACGTAGTCCTCAGAGGCCCACACAGAAGGGGGTGTGTGTGTGTGTGTGTGTGTGTGTGTGTGTGTGTGTGTGTGTGTGTGTGTGTGTGTGTGTGTGTGTGTGTGTGTGTGTGTGTGTGTGTGTGTGTGTGTGTGTGGTGTGTGTGTGTGTGTGTGTGTGTGTGTGTGTGTGTGTGTGTGTGTGTGTGTGTGTGTGTGTGTGTGTGTGTGTGTGTGTGTGTGTGTGTGTGTGTGTGTGTGTGTGTGTGTGTGTGTGTGTTTTTCTGCATTGTATGCCTCAGCTCTGAGTCTATCCCATTTAAAAAAAAAATAAAGTACAGTAGATCACTGGTATTGTTTCTTTTCAACACTTACTTTTGATGTTGTTTTCCCAGCTGCAGGTTTCAGGTATACAGATGACCACACAGCCTATATATAAACTTAGATATAAGATTTGTACGTATGATCTACAGTATCCATCGTTGAGAACAAATGCATTTACACCATTAAACTTTTCTTTCGACTTTTTCTCTCTTTTCTTGTTCCCTATTAGTCTCTCTGCTTATTCTATATCAGATGGTTTCCGAGCCACCTGAGGCACTGAACAAATAACGTATTGCAAATGACATTTCCTGTGAGGCTTATTGATGTCATTAAACACTAGCATACTGAGGCCCAGAATCATTTTAGTCTTCATCAGACTGCCTGACATTTTAGTGAATTAGCTGTTGGAGGTTTGGTTGGTTGGGGTGAGGTGGTGGTGTTTTAGCTCCTCCAGCATTTTTCCTCCTTCACAGGGTCAAATGGTGGAATCGATCGTCTCATTTGGCCTGTCTGCTGGCGTTTGATTGGCTGTCATAATATGTGTCTGGTGCATAATGTTATTCTTGCATGTTTTTCTGCTAGGGAGTTAATCAAGTTAGAATTGAGTTTCTTTCAAGAATAAAAAAGCATTGCAAGATTGTGATTATTGTGAGAATTAATATTTAACTTAAAAAACACACTAAATGCTTATGGTGAATGCTTTTAGTTTTTAATACATTTTTACAGTTATGTGATGATTTATATATTTTTTTATAATAAATCTGTTACAGCTACTGTTATAACTGATATGTGTTGGGGGTTTGATCGCATCAAAATCTAACCAAAATAGGACTTCATCACTAGAACAAGACAGCATGTTGGTCAGATCTCCTTGTGATCCATCCGCCCATCATTGTATTGTCATGACATGACCAGAACAAGGAGTCTATCATTTTACGTGTTTGTGAATCATCATCAGAGCGACAATAGATCCAACACAGCTCAGTGCCAGCAGCCGTGTGGCCTGTCATCTATTATCACCGCTCCTCTGTCTTCCTCTCACAAGTGATCAAAAATCGAATCCGTTCCACAAAGCACTTCTCTCTGTTCTAAACAGGATGTGGGGAGAAGAAAAGAAGGAAAGGAGAAATAAGGAAATGGAAAAGAAAGTTGTTAATGTCACTGAACCATGAAAGGCTTGGCCTGGGGTTGGAATGATTCGGTATACAAGGTTCTTTAGTGCTGTGGCTGCGGGGATAAACATAACTTACATCAGCCCTTCGCTTGTACAGGAGATTTCCTCTCCTGGCACTTACAACCTCAACACTCTAACTGCACTGTGATTCACACACACACATGCAGTACGATCGAGGCCCTTTCAAGTATCTCATACACACACACACACACACACACACACACACACACACACACACACACACACACACACACACACACACACACACACACACACACACACACACACACACACACACACACACACCAGAGGGCAAGGGGTTTCTATTCTGTTTGTAAGCATGACAGTGCTCGCTATTACTTGTTCACACATACATGCAGAGTTTAGTTGGCTTTTGTTGGATGGATTTGTATCAACAGCAATACTAATTGCATTAGTGTTTTGATCAATGTAATGTTTGATTGTGTGTTCTGTGTTATTTTCTCCCCAGATCATCACGCAGTATGTTTATGAGCTGTTGGAGAAAAAGTGCAACATGACCAAACAAATCCTTCCGGTAAGTACCGAGAGTGAAAAGAGGTATTTTCTTCTTTGATTTATGCCCTTGAAGATTAAAGGGAGTATTAAAAAGGAAAATTGACGTAAATGCTTAGGCTTCAGAGTGTGATTATGATATTGAGTGTCCTGTTTAAAAAAATTAAGAAAAGAGGATTGTGAGGCGTCAGCTCTCCTCATTCCCTATCAGTCTTTGTCTTTCTCTTTCTATCTCACTCAGTTTCTCTCTTTCCCCCTCTTTCTTTCCCCCCCTCCCCTGCCCACATCCTTTGTGCAAAAGTGTCTCCTCAACAAATTAACTGTATTGTGACGTGTCATTTCAAAGGCACAGAGGCGCAGCATGCTGATGTTTAATCTGTTTTGCATTCATTCGCGCTGAAGGGGACTTTCTACTCTGCCATCATGGAGTTATTCTTTGCCCAGCTCATCCAGGCTCAGAGCGCACACTTGATCCCTTTTATTTGTTGTTGGAAGCATGTTTGTCTCTTTACCCCTCCCTCGCTGTTCTTGTTATGTTCATAAAAGTTGTGATCATTTTTCAGGCTGTGTTTATAGGGATGTTAGGCAGCGCTGGTGTTTAGAAACATAGCAGAGTTAGCCCCGGCGCTAACAGTGTCCATAAATCACCAAGCCAGGGACTCAGCACCTTTCATTAGCCCCATACACTTTACTGGTTTATCTGCCTGGCCTATTTATCTCATTATTCCTGTGGAAAATGGCTCTGTTCTGTTTTTCTGCTGCCCACCCGCCTGCATGTATATGGTGTGTGTGTGTGTGTGTTTGTGTGTGTGTGGTGGGTCCGTCCACCTGCGTGGCATTGAACTTGTGACCGCAGATTTTAAGAAGATTAACCACAGCCAAGTATAGGGAGAGGGAATGAGGGAGCAAAAGAGAATAAAGGCTAAGATTTTCTCCCCCACTCGGCTCTCTTTGTCTGCTTGGATTAAGTTCTTGCAGCTGCCACCCATGGCTTTTATGGACAGTGTTTGTGTCCTTAGAGATTCTTCCAGGCATACTTGGGAGGGATGCAAAGGAGCATGGGATGTGGACGGAGCGCATGCATGCACATACACAACTCACTTACCTACTGAGCCTCTCTTTTAGTCCATATCACCTTCTGCTCACTGTTATTCGCACAAAAGCTGTTTCTAACGATGATTATTGATGAATAGTGTACTGATGCTGCAGTACAAATTCGTTTTTCGTTTATTACAAAAGCCATTATTCATAATCATTCTTTGAAGAAGCAGATAACACAATTTGATAGTCTTCTGCATTTGCTACGTTTGCATGGAAACAGAAAATATGTATTTTGATTGAGTAAAATGTTCAAAAGTCTATGAAATCATATTAAAGGGCCCATGTCATGGCCATTTCCACTGATCATAATTCCATTGTTGAGGTATACTAGAATAGATTTATATTGTGCAATTTTCCAAACTCACATTGGTTTCTCATACAGCATCTCTGTAAACTACGTGTATTCACTGAATTTCACTATCTGCCTTTAACGGCTCGTTGTAGCTCCCAAAGCTCCAGCCCCCACCCTCCCTGTGAGCACAGTGTGCTCTGATTGGTCGGGACGTTGTGAATCGCGCTGAGCTCCGTGGAGGTGTTGTTTCCTTGTTAGCGATACACAGCCAAACACAGCCAAACTCATCCTGAGCACACACAAACTCACATCCGAAGTAAAAACAATAAGTGTGGCTTGATATTGAGTAAGAAAAAGGTTGATAAACGCTGTGAGAATGGGTCTGCAGAGAGAATTTCGCCGCGATCCCAACTGTCTGTTATCAGCCTGCAGCCAGGGAGGAGAAATCAGCAGAGCTGCCTGCTCCCTGCACACAGATGTGTGTGTGAGGAATTCCGTGGATTGGTCAATTTGGACCAATCAGCGGAGGCTTAACGTAACGGCTCCGCGGACGTAACGTAACGGCTCCACGGATTGGTCCATTTCGTTCCGGGTACGGCTTGACATCATGCCGTACCCGGAACGAAATGGAAGAATCAAATGGACAATGACGTATCTCGAACGAGGCGTTTTGGGGAGGTATTTTCTGTGTTAGAGTTTTACTCGCTACAGGGTGTACTTTGAGGGTTTGTGACTCTGCACACCGTTTACATGCAGAAAAACCTTCATAACACACAAGGGGACGGGTAATAACCGGAAAAGCATGACATGGGCCTTTTAAAACATTTTGAGTACATACTGTAAACTAGATAAACACCATTGAAGAAGTATTCATTTTTTCTCATAAGCGATTTTTGGGTTTTACTACAATAGCAATGTCACTTACTGACACACACAACATGTGTTTTTCCTGAATGTTTAGGGAGAACGTACGGATGATGAACCCACCAGTTTTATCTACCTGAGCCCTGATGCCTTGTCCAACCCTTCGAAGCTGCTGGTGCTGATCCAGGGCAGTGGCGTGGTGCGTGCCGGTCAGTGGGCCCGTAGACTCATCATCAACCAGGACCTGGATTCAGGGACCCAGATCCCCTTCATCACCAGAGCCATGGAGGTAGGGGACACAACAAAAGAAGTTGAAGCTATTCTGTTGGTTGTTTTGAACTTGTTTTCTGGTCTTTTGATCCAAGAGAGCACACTAAGGACACTGCATTTATGATGTGAAAAAAACTATTTATTGTGCTGCTAGTTCCAAATACTTAATTTAATCTATAATTTTAACTTTTCTTGTTGTTGTAGTAATATTAGTAGTAGTAGTTGCTACCAACAATACGTCAGTGCTTAGCCGAAACCAAACGTTTAAAAAGCAGTAATCTTTTGTTGCTCTGTGCTTTCGTAGCTCAGACTCTGTTCTGCAGCGACTCATTTCAGTTCATTTTAGAATTAACACAAGTGTGGAGTGGAAATGAAACCTCTCCATGGTTTATACAAGACATAATATGATCTTTAAAAATGTTGCACTCAACATCGCCTTGTTTTCGATCAAGTATACATTTATTCAAAGATGCAAACAAAGAATGATACTCTTGAATAATACAATTGTGCAGTCCTCAACTCATAAGCGAGTCTTATATTGTTCTTGTTAGTGAAATGAAGCATATTCTCCAACTTGATTATCATTATACAAGAAAATGCATTCTCATGATGCATGAATCCTATTTAGTCCTGTGTATTCATGTGTAACTGAGCTGAGAGAGAGAAGATATAATGTAATGTATTTACTTTTCCTACCATATGATCAGACGCATGTTTGTCAGCAAGCTCGAGGTCGCTGTGCCTTTCTTATTATTTTTCACCCCATCTCTGTGCTCATTTGTCAGCCTGGCCACAACTACCTGTGTAATGTCATCGTCCTCCTGTTCAAATTGACTTAGGGGGGGGATCCTGCTCTCCCTCTCCTCTTGTTCCCTCGTTTGGTCAATCTGAATGCCATAAAGACTTTCACTGCTGTGTAAAGCTTGCTCCTGCTGTGTACAACAACAGGAGAGGTTTGGGCTGTGTGTGTGCCCATGTGTGCAAAAGAATCATTCGGCTACCCAGAGACTGTCTTTGATTTACAGTTACCCTGGCTGGTATTACAGTTGGAGAAGGGTTGTGCTGCCGAAAGCCAAAGTGACAGCTTAGATATAGAGAACACTGTGTAGTGCGAGTGTTGCTCATTCATCATAGTAAACAAGAAATTCTGTTCCTACTCCCTGACAAATCATCATCCAGGCATTAACCACACACAGGCCTGGTACTCTGAGTCTGCACTGGAAAGACAGGCACGGTCAATTCATGCTGTCTGCATCGATTACAGGCATGATTGTAGTTTATTATGTCATACTATGAAATTTGGGTGGATGTAGTTTTGAAGCGCATTGTAAAGGAGTTACAGCTTCTACATGAAAAAGTTAAGGTTTTAATTGAGACGAAGGTAAAAAATAAATACAATTAAACCTATGAAACATGTTTGATCAAAAACTCAAACGAATGACAGCTCAGTGAGATGACAGCTCTGTGACACAACCAATACAGACGTCAACATTCACAATCTATATTAAGAGGACAATCCCATGATAAAGCAGGTTTGTGAAGAGAACACCTGAAGGATAGCCAATTAGCCATTATTGAAGTGTCAGTGGATAAAATCCCGCAGCTCTAGAGTGGCATTGGCAAGAGATATCACGTTTTTCTCTCAATGTTACATGCCATCAGCTGATTTTGATGATTAGTTCCCACTCAAGCAGAGAGGGACCAGCTAAACAGGATGATAATCGAAACTAGTGACAAGCTGCACACTCATCAGCAGTGCCCATTATACTGTAGTTATTCAGTGGGCTATTTTCAGTGGATACTGGGGCGCAGTATGCTCAAAATGTGCACCACGCTCAAAATTACAAATTACTGACATTTATTCAATAATGTACAATCACATATCAGTATTGGCATGTTATTTTGACAATGCTATATACAGGATATTTGACATAAATGTTCCTAAAGTCTCTGATATTTTTCATATATAACATTACGCTGTTACACATTTCACATGTTTTCCTATATAATTGTGGAAAGCATGCGTGAAAGTTATGCATTCATTGTATGGTATCTCTTAAGTCAAAGTTTATAATGAGTTCTTTCCAGGTCAGCCAAGTGGGTAGCTGACACCCAGCATGTTATATTTAAACTCCTTGTGGGAAGAGAGGTGCAGCAGAAATGGTGAGGATGTGATGTCTGAAACTTTGCAAAAAGCAACCGTATATACCATTGTTATTTTACTAAATATAAAACATTAATGATTGAAAGGAGGTGGTTAAATCAAATCAGTTCAGTCAATCAGTTTAAGCCAATATAAAGTTAAGCATATTAATTATAACTATATATAATTATTGTTTCCTTACTTCCAGACATGGGAAAGTACAGCAGTTAACTTTTGCTATTGCTGCTTCTATGGCTATCATCATCATCATCATCAATATCTCCACACATTAGGTCCACAGGTGCATATAATGTAAAGTTCAACGGGACTAACAAGAGTATTTCTGGGACATTCAGGAAAAGCCATGGAGAAGGAAAGCGACAAACAATAGAAACACATTTTATAACACCACTACATTCAAAGAAAGTAACTTGAAAGACATTGTTGATATCCAGTGTGAGAATTGACAGCAGTGGGATATTCCTGTAACCAAACTGTCATCAAGGATTGTATTAAAACACATTTGTAATTCATTCTGACGCTGTTTGACTGTGTGAGAGCAAGTCTGGCACCGTGACAATTACACTGTATTTTTTAAAAACATTTAGTTAAGTGCAGTGTTGGGTCAAATGTTGACTTTTTTGAGTATACTGTTTTTTCTAATTTTTGTACGAGGCTCCATTTTCCACAAGTGTTTCGTGGCAAGAATCAGTTGCCTCGAGTGCAGCTCATGTGAAGTTACTCATGGGAAGTTGATTGGAAATTCAAAGCCTGCAGCGAAGGGTCAACTGGAGTGCATTTGGCAAATATAGGGGGAGCTTGTGGCTTCGCAGAACTCATGAGCAACACACACATACACAGATAAGACTCACTACTAATTTAGCGTGTGTGTGTGTGGAAACAGTGCAATTCTCGCTTGCACACACCTGTGTCAAAGCACCACTCTGAAATTCTTAGCCATGTTCCTCGGAAGTTCGAGTCAGCCTTTCCTCTCTTCCGATGGAAAAAAAGTAGCTGATTGTGCAAGTTAATCAGGCCCCTTTACACAAAACACACACACACACACACACACACACACACACACACACACACACACACACACACACACACACACACACACACACACACACACACACACACACACACACACATTCACTGGGCTATTTTCGAGGCAGCCTGTCTCTTGCGCACCATTTGCACCCGATCACCGGTGTCTGCCTCTCATATACACCATGCTCTTGTCTTCAGATGTCACAATCTTTGTCATGCTTGGTGTTAAAGGTAAGTCTTAAATATGAGATCGCAGACGTTTGCACAGCACACAGAGAAAAACATACCAACACAGACATAAATGCAACACATGGGGCAGAGGATGTGCTTGTGGTAGTGTTGCCGGGTTAAGGGGAAACTTTGTGCTGTATGAGCAGGTCTCATGCATGTTGTCTTTACCTGTATATGTGTGTGTGTGCACATGGAAGTGGTGCTATTCCCATAGCCCAGAGGTAAAATGACAGGTGAGAGGAGGATGCTCCAGCATCAACCAGTGAGTGGGGAAAAGAGGAATCTGAGATGGAAAGGGGGGTGGAGGGGTGCAGAGAGGGAGATGGGTTATGATTGGTTGGAAGAGGACAGAAGGAGTGGGGTACAGAGAGGATTGAAGCACGGAGAAAGAAATGAGAGGAAGACTAGGGAGTGACTGCAAATGGGGTGGGACTGGCAGAGGAGAGACGGGAGTTGAGAGAGAGAGAGTAGGCAGAAGGCAGGCTTCTGACAGCTCCACTACTGGGAGAGGGCCTCTTAATGACAGCTTATTCCTTCATGATTTCAATTCCTGACAGTCGACAGGTCTGCTTGTTGCATCATGGCAGCTGTATCATTACCTTCTGGCCCTGTCACTGCTCTGCATCCTGAGACTGAGATGGTGGAGGTGGAGGGTGGGTGCCGTGGGGAAGGGGGGATGAGGGAGAGGGAGAGAGAGAAAGAGAGGGAGGTTACAGTCAGAATAATTGAAGGAGGGATGATTGATAGGTGGGATCATTAGTTATTGTAGCTGTTGGAGTTAACAGTAGGACTTTAAACATGTGGAAGTTTATGTCCATACTTTAAGAAAAAAAAATATTGTTGTGAGGCCTTAGCTTCATTTTTTAAGAACCTTTTAGGCTTTTACTTTCTTACTTTATGTCACTTCTTGACCTTTTTCCCTTTAATTGTCCTGCAATCGAAATGTTTCGGTTTTGAAGAAAACTTTAGTTCTTGGCCACAATTTAGTTAGAAAGCACAACAGTATTTATTTGGGCTAGAGGAAAAACTAAATGTTTCTAGATGAACTAGTACCCGTTTAAAGCTACAAACATGATTTCTGGAGAAGTTCAGTTGATTGTCCATTTGTTTTCCGATGTGAGAAATCTTCAGCTTGATTTTGTTATTTAAGTCATACTTTTAGATATATCAAATATGAATGAATTCATCCACAAATCCAAGCCTGACAAATCCACCACTTGTTAACTGCATAGACAAGTGCACTCATACACACAACCACACATTTCACACTGTCCTCAAGAACTACTTAATTAAAATTTGGAAATTGCTAATACAAAAACAGATCTGTACCCCCTGTAATGTCCCCCCTTCTTCTCACCCACCCTTTTTCTTCATCTCCCTTGGTCTCCCCCTCTCTTGATAGTGAGTCGGGCTCGACATTGGAGCCCCATTGGAGCCCCACAAGAGGGGGTGTGGTGTTTTCAAAAGTGTGTCAAAAGCCTAGGGGTTTGTATCTGCCCAGAATTTCAATGGGAGGCTGAAAGGGGGCAGCGAAGCAGACAAACTCAAACACAAAAATCCTCTCTTAATTTTGGTCATGCTGCCCACCCTTGTCT